TATCAATATTGTAAAACCAATGGTCTGTTTCAGGCCGAAATTAGCTTCACTGACTTGTTCGTGTGTTGCTTGTTCAGTAATCGATCCTGGCAATCCAATTGTTACTATCCTTCACGAATCTTCCAATCTCCACTCTATTTGTAATAAGTATACTTATTAAATAAAATTAGTTTAGGTTAGTAAAAACTAATTTTATTTAATGAGTGATGTGCGTGAAAACCTAAGAAACAAATAAGTATACTTATTACTAGTAACTATAGTTACTAACGAACCACTACTAATGTCCCAATTAATGCCTTCAAAAGTTCCCAACCAAATCATTTTTTTTTAAGCTCATAAATCCAATTTTATTGAAATTTCAATGAAAGGCATCATTAGGTGTTCATTACTTCATTAAATATTAAATAAATCTATACGGAGTTAATCTTCTTACTTTGACTTTAATCGGAGAACATTGATTTCGCATTCGGTAATTACCGAAGTTAACTTATAGAGCAGAATATTCATTTATGAAATTTGATGTAATCTGGGGTCTATTGAAATTTAATTATGAAAGATTCAAAGTTCTTTGTGTTTTTAATTACACTGGCTTATAGACAAGCGATATAGTAGATTGTTAACCGAGGGTGGAAAGAATTAATTCCCGAGGAATTTAGACGCCCGAGCGCAGCGAGGGCGGCTATAGTCCGAGTAGGAATTGATTCTTTTACCCGAGTTAGACACTGTACTTTTCATTTCGAATATGAGGAAAATAAAACTAGTTGTTTATCAAAAATATTTATTCATAAATAGGTATATATAGGTACAATAAAATCAGAAGTGGCTATTTAAAATTAATTGCCATATTAGGACAATTAGTGAAATTAAAATTACATTCTTATTTGGAATGTTTATGCTGTTTGATATACTATTACAAATTTGACTGTTTTGGATATCTGTAAAAGTGGCGGATACTCCCTCGAAGTTTGAAGAAGAAGTGAAGAAGACAGTCCATTAAAATATGTAAGAAATACACTTTCGGAAAACGATTTTATATTCTTCTCTGCTCGCCACTTTATAAAATCATTGTATGTATTCATATATCCTCTTTTGACATTTCTGGCAAAAGATTGTCTATAACACAATTAGCCTCGTCTTTAATTGAATACGGTGTCAACATTAAATTTCTGAATCGCTTAAACTCATTTTAATATTCAAATTTAGGTTGCTCTATTTTACTTATAAGATTTTTTTTTATTCCATCACAGATACATAACAGTTTAGTATCCCGCCAATTTATGTCGACTTTTTAAATTTAAATATGGAACAGCGTAATTGTTGCGGCTTATTCCGCTCAAAGAAGTTTGTGCTAAGTTCACACTGGCTGTTTAGAAACTCACATGGCATCATATTTTTTTTTACATAAAACTCTTCACACCTGACAGTAGTTCTATTTTTAAAGTTCATTCCGGCCCTTAGGCGGGAAGTAATTTGTATGAGTTTTTCCATCTCTAGGGAGGGAAGTAGCATTTTCCACCCAACAAACAGATCAAAACAACACCACTTTCCGAGAATGAGAAATGAAAAGGTATTTATAAAACTTTAACTCTTGTAAGGCAATTATATATTTTAAAAGCCTTTCAATAACACACTAGAGATTAGCGCGCACAAAGTGCGCGCCGTGGATGTACAATGCAAATTATTAATTTTTGAAGTTATACTTCTTTAGCCGCGTTATGAAAAAATTATGAGAGTGAAATTTTCATCACTGTAACACAAAATTTTAACATAATGAAGTTAGCCGCGGGCGCGTTATTTGTAATATTTTATTTTCCAAGTGACCGTGGGGCAGATTTGAACAAAGCAAACAGGGCAGATTTGAACAAAGCAAACAGGGCAGATTTGAACGGGACATTGAAATGAAATGAAATGAAATGAAATGAAATTCAGTCTAGGCTGTTACAAGCACTTGTGAAGGTCAAGAACACAACGTGTTTTAGTTACTTACAAGTGCTAATTACATATGGACTAATAACTTAAATTCAGTAGTGATTTTAATTGAATATTTTGAATATTTATTTAATTTTTCAAATTTAAACTGAACTTAATTGACTGTGTTAACTATCCTTTTCCAGTCCTCTTATTATTTTATTGTAATTATTAATTATTTGCATGCAATTAAAAAATATTTTAATGATGCTAAAGAAGTATAACTTCTCACGCGCGTACATAAGTTACACGCATCCATTTTTTTTAAATTTCCCGCACAAATAAAATAACCAATAAGGAAAAAGTCACTCATTTTTTCGATATATTTCCATTATTAGCTAACTTCACATGTCCATGTAAATTCATAGATCGGATTATTAAATGATCCCGTTGGTTACTTCGAATCACAATCGTGAATTTATCTGTAATTAATAAGGAACTATTTACGCTCTAATATGATATTAAACGTTAATATTTATAGCTAATATAATACTGCATTGAACTAACGATCAAATTCCTTTTAAAATACCTCATACATTAGCATGCTGCAACATTCAATATATTCCAAACTTTAAAGGTTGAAAGTAAAGACCTCGTCGTGTTTTAACAAAGTTCAAGTGACTTGTATGACCTCGGAGCTGAGAAAACAAGCTGTTCGGTGTCATGAAGATTTGGCCGAAAAAAGTTCTCTTATCTTTGTTATCTACCCACACAGCACAAGTATCCGGAAGATATCTTTTTGATATCTTTTTTCAGATATCCTTAAGATATCCATGAAATGATGTCAAAAAGATATCTTTTTTCAGACATTTTTTTAAATTGATAAATAAAGGCGAGCAAATTGATTAATGAATAGTTAATTAATTAATAATTCATCTAATTACCAGTTTAATAATTAATTACTGATACAATATACAGTAAATCTACAAAAATAGTAACTAATATCTCGAAAGGTAGACACATCGGTGGAGCTTGCTGCTGGATTGGCAGTGAGCATTGGAGCCGGCGACAGGCGCAACGAACATATGTACTTATCCAGTTTGCTCTCAAATGTATCCGGTACGGAGGACCAAGTGACAAAATAGCTTTGAATCAACCTATGACATTTAAAATTTGTTGTATTATGCGTCATTGGAATCAACCTATTGATGAAGTATACGTCGTAGGATGATTTTTGCGAAGACGCGGATAATTAGACAGTGACATTACTCAACCAAATTACCCCAAAGGTGAGAATGGCTGGAGCGGCACACTTTTCTATCGCATCAGTTATCTTCAGACTTCACTAGTCCCCACTCACACTTAAATATCTGGCTGGGGAGGGGAAATTTTCTGCACCTTGTATTAAAAAAATAACAAAATATATCTCACTGACTATTAGATGCTAACGCATACATCTTTAGATGGGTATAGATTTTTTGAAGTATACAGGCGCCCATGACCCCCCTGTACAACTGACACGCAACTTGTAGCTTCAAGCTTGAAAAGACCTGTTCAAGTTGCATATAATTTGCATCTTCCATACATTATAAAAAAAAACATAATTAAATTGTAGTTGCCTAACGGAATCGCGCCTTCGGCGCAAACCAAAGACACTACAATCACATGATGCACCAAATAAAAACATAAGAACCGTAATACCGCAGATTAACGTTTACTTTTCTTTACTACCAAGATATTTTTGAGAACTTTGAGTGCTTAGATACCATTGAACAGTTATTCGTGAATATCTCTTATCTATTAGACAAGTCCGTCCGTCTGTCTGTCTGTGGTGCTGTTTCAGCGGCCAAACCGTAAGAGATAGATAAAGAAAATATTTAAGTTATAAGTTAAGAATAGTCTGATAAGACTACAAACCGGATTTGAGTAACGTAGCACTTCCGGTTTTCGAGAAATCACGAATTTCAAACGAAATCGCACAAAATCTCCGAACATCTCAATTAATTAAATACATTTTTTTTAAAATCAGGTTTTGGTGAACATTTGGTTCACTGGTTTGCTAGTAATATATCATCGATTATTTTAACACATGAAGGAGCTCGATGGCGCAGGTGGTTAGCGCGTTAGGCTGCGATCTTTGAAGTAACTTTCGCAGTGGTCGGTCATTGGATGGGTGACCTAAAATCTTCTATCTCGAGTTCTTACGTGCTTTGGAAGGCACGGCAATCCGTTGGTCCCGGCTGCATTTGCAGTCGTTAGCACCCGCCATTCCGCACCAGCCCAGCGTGGTGGGTCTTGACCCAATCTCCCTATTCCATCCATAAGAAGGCCTGTGCCCCAGCAGTGGGGACATTAATAGGCTGACGATGATGATGATCTTAACAGATAACATTATTATGAATTATATGTTGTTTCGATAATATTGACCGATCTGGGGGCCATTCGCTTAATGAAAATGCTTTGGAAAACGCTAACGCTTTCGATTTTATTTTGTTATTTCCGACCGCCGAAGGTTTTCAAATACCTCACGCACGCATTTTTTTTAATATTGTTATTACCAATGCAAAAGAAAAAAAAGAGCGCGAGGCATTTGAAAACTTAGGCGGCTAGAAATAACAAAATGAAATTGTAAGCGTCAGCGTTTTCCAAAGCATTTCCGTTAGGCGAATGGCCCCTAGGCGGTTTACAGCAATAAGATTATCTTACAGCGCATATAAAACAGAATTTATGCATCTTCGATCGTCGATAATTTTGATCAGTCTTTATTCACACTTCGATTTATACGGAGCTGACTGTACTAGAAAATAAAACAGCAGTGTTCAACATTACATTATATTATTACTTTCAACACTGATTAGAGGTTAAACTAAATCACATAATAATTCGCTACAGACTCATGGCGGAGTACTACCAGCTGTCTACTACTCTACAGACAATATTATAGCGGGCGTCAACTGAAGGCACTGGCCACAGATTATTCCACTTTACACATTACAAATAAATAATTTCTTGCAATACAACAATAAACCAGTAGCAAATTATATAACAGCGGTTTCCTTAATAATAAGAATTATATTAATTACAAATCTGTTAGCATTATAAGCATTTCTGAAAGGTAACGGCACGGTAATATTATCTATACAGTATTGTGACTCCGCCCTGTCCTTGAAAATAAATGCCTACACCGAGCGCTGCGTTGGCACGCGGTAGGGCCGCCAGCCTACAGTATTTTATGTAGTTTTGTTTTTAACGCGAGTGTAGGTAGATTACTCGTTTGTCTCTTTTTTCATCCTAACCACTTATTTATATATTATTCCAGATATTTTGCCTGATGGAAAAACCGAAATACCTAAATATTAGAAACAAATAACGTACTAGTAGATAGGTATATAAAAATATTCTATAAAGGCAAGACACCTTTCCAATATTTCAGGTAATTTAAAAAATGATATCTCTGGGTGTGTTATTAAAGAGTTCAAGCAACCAAAAACAGCAATTGTGCTGTTGTACGATATTGATCGTCGTTTGTTCTTTTCTATACAAAATTATGTAGGTATCTACTTAATTAAATCAAATATTTACAATACAAAACGCACGTTTAAGCACGGCTAACTGCATAAAAAACAATTCAGACCGTTCGGTCGTCGTTGCGGCGCGGCGGCGCATTCGCGACTGGGTGCCCGCCGAGAGCCCATCGAACTCGAGTGGCGTAGGTATGACTCGCTTTCCGACCGTTTGTATGAAGATAGAATACTGTATGATATTATTACCGTGGTAACGGTCTTAGCCCCTGCTGACATGTCGCAGATTTCGTCGCAAAGCATAATATCAACAAACAAGTATAACATGTGCGGGATGCACTATCATTTACACTTTTCACAAGATTTTGATGAAAAGAAATATTATCATTAGCTATAATACAACTATTCTATAATAAGATACACGATTTTTATTATTGTTATAGCTAGGTACTCTTTAAATTTTATACGATAGATAACATTTTGGAAAAATAAAAAATATTAAACATAAGTCACCTTAAACTTTTAAATTGGCTACTCACTAACAGTGTGCAACGAGAAGGTATTATTTTATTTGGTATAATTCAAATTTTCATCTGTACTTATATAATGCGAACCCACATTTCAATCCATACCACATAATGAATGCTGACACAAGAAGCAGATTTCGTCCGTACTAATCGCTAGGTACGGTAAACAGGTACAGGGTAAGTGCGTAGAAAAAGGAGTATTCAACCTCGAGGTACAGGAAGTACGAGACTTATTTTTACCGAAGATCTGCTTTTTAGTGTCAGCACCTCACACGTAAGGTTAGAATACCACGCTTAAGTTCAATCCCAAGCTTTCAGAGTCTTCCCACCGATCTTCCGGGAACGATCAGCGAATGGGAATATTAGTAGTACCATTGTATAATATAATATTAGTAAGGATCGATAGTTCGAGACTATATACATAAATACGCTCGGAGGAAGTTAACGATTAAACGGGAAATATTAAGCGAAAGGGGGTATTTGGTTAAAAATAAAGGGGAACAATCCTCGCTGGCAGTGTAGCGCGGGCGGGCGCGGGCGCGGGCGGAGCTACGCGTGCGCCGGCTTACGACTTCTTCCTGCAACCACACGCGGACCGTTAGTGATACCCCGCGACACGGTACCCCGCTGACCCGGAACCCCGGTACCCCGCTGACACGGAACCCCGGTGACCCGGTATCCCGCTGACCCGGAACCCCGGTGACTCGGTACCCCGCTGACCCGGAACCCGGTACCCCGGTGACCCAGTACCCCGGTGAACTGGTACCCCGGTGAACTGGTACCCCGGTGTACTGGTACCCCGGTGAACTGGTACCCCGGTGACCCGGTACCCCGGTGAACTGGTACCCCGGTGACCCGGTACCCCTGTGACCCGGTACCCCTGTGCTGGTACCCCGGTGACCCGGTACCCCGGTACCCGACCCGCACCTGTCCAAGCCTCGATCCCCACACCTTATACGCAGTTCATATTACGGTGGAAGAGAAGCTAATCGACGTGATTGTACACAGAGCTTTTCACTTTAACTGATTGAAGTTAACGTACATATTTGTAAGACGAGATGAGAATTTGTATGTATTGTGCGCGCATTATGGTTAAGAAATGTTGCCGAAAAAGTGAGGTTTACTTTGAAATTGAGTTCCGTTCCACTGTAATATAAATTATGCGTTGCTTTTGGCACCCCTTCCATATATATAAGATCACTCACTGTCTGGCTTTAAGATGGTTTAATTTTGATGAATTAGAAATTTGCCCAAAGAAGCCCAATATAATTTTGAAATTATAAAAAAAGCAAAATTAACTTTGAACAAGTTTAGCCAAACTTTTCCAATCTCAAACGGTGATAACGGGTAGGATGTATGAAGAAGCGATAGAAAAGCCAGCGAACCAATGGTTTGATATAATAATACAATATTTCATAGAAACGGGGGCCGACACGAGTGACCCTCCCAGTAGTGTTGCCGATCGATAGTCGACTATCGATGATTAATCGATAGTCTATCGATAGCCAACCATCGTATGACAATCGATCGGCTTATCGATAGTATCGATACTATCAATAGTATTGTAGTTCGTTAATAACAAACTATCGATAGTATCGATACTGTCGATTTTATTTGCAACCATACTATCGATAGTTTAACAAGTTGCAATAGTATTGTTTACGATTTTCAGGTATTATAGTCAATCACAAACTTTAGTCTAGAACAATCGCTAGTGTCTATACTATCGATAGTATTGTTGCAGATTAAATCAACACTATCGATAGTATCGATACTATCGATAGTTTGTTATTAACGAACTACAATAGTATCGATAGTATCGCACTCATTCGATAGTATCGCCTCGTTCTGAGCTATCGATGATATCGATACCATCGGTAGTATCGATTCTATCGATAGGGTACATGATTTTCGATGTAAACTGTCGATAGTTTTAATATCGATAGTTCGGCAACACCACCTCCCAGATATTATTAACATATGTAATTTTAGATCGCGATAATGAAAACATGAATGATCGAAAGCGACATAAAAGTTTATAGACGGATCAATCGGCCACCACCGCTCCAGAGGATACGATTAGCATTGTTAATGTCAATAATGGGTTCGGGTAAGGGACGGGGGGGGGATAGGTCTCGGGTCCAGACTCACTGGTCGTGGTTGTCGGTGTCGGAGTCGTCGAGCTCGGGCTTGGTGCGTCGCTTCTCGTAGACGAGGATGATGGCGCACAGCACGAACACCTCCGCGCAGATGCCGAGGAAGGGCCACAGCGCCGCGTACATGTCCTTGACGCGCAGCTGCGTGTGGTCGCTGGAGGCGCCGGCGCGGCACGAGTAGAACCCGGCGTCCCCGCGGGCCGCGGACTCCAGCACCAGCGCGCCGCCCTCGATGCCCTGCTCGTTGCTCTCCAGCTTGACGCGCCCGTCGCGCGAGCCCTCCTTCAGCGGCTGGGACGAGTTGGCGGTCGCCGACGAGTTGTAGTACCACGACACCGCCGGGTATGGCTTGCCCGTCACCTGAAATGTCCGTTGCCCGTTTAGTAAGGAGACTTGGGCACAGCGGTGACACTCTCTGTATGTGAGAATTCCAGCGTCGGTGACCTTGAGCAGGAGCGTGTATGCGCTAGGGTTGAACTTGGAATTTAGACTTGTGCCAACGAATATTTATGCATAGTAAGTTATTAAATGTAAACTGATTCAAGGATACTGGGGTAAATAATGGAAGGAAAGGTTTGATTTTATAATCAATTTTTAATCTTTTAATGTAGGTACTATAACAAATTGCTAACTTTTATATATTTTCTCCTTTTTCGATTCGTTTTATAATTCTTATTATTATCTAAATAATAATAAGATTGCGTAGCGTTGTCAGTCTGTGCGTGCAATGCAGTGCAACGCTATTATTTTACTATTTCGCTACTGCCATGCCTTCGGTCTCGGCAGTCGGCGACTGCCCTCTCCACGCCCCGCGCGCCGCGCAACGCCCCCGCGCACCTCCAGACACCCACACATAGCCGCGGGCGATTTTACGAGCACACATGCTTAAGTGTCGCTTCTTTTCGCGTAGTGTATATATTCTGTGACTTGGGTCCCTTTGAAAAATAGTTGTGCCGCGAAGATTTTTGTTGAATGTTGTAGGAAAAATATGCTATATTCGCATTCAAAAGAAATTTCCGATTCGGTCACCCTGGTTCGCGAGATATAATTTATTTCCTATTGTGGAAATTGAAGTTATGAGATAGCTTGACGTTAACGTTTTCTCCATGCTTTTCTTGACTAGGTCCTATCTACATCGCTATATTGATATAGACTTGCATATTATAATGTATAAAAGCTATAATAATGTTTCGGTTAGTTATCAGGCAGAAAAAATTACGCTATAAATGTCGCGAGCATAAAAAAATAAATCCGATTTTAGGTACCTGCATATTTGAAAGAGGCACGAGATACCTCAAAATGGACCTATGTTTGGGCATTCTCCTTTTAAGATGTCATATGTCTGAATGATGGTAGAAGTATGGAACGGCGTATGTTCGGCGTCAGCCTGCGTGACAGAATAAGGAACGCGATCATTGGAAGTAAAACTCGAGTGATTGATATTGGATACCGGGTCGCAAAGCTAAAATGGTCGCGGGCCGGGCATCTGTGCCGCCGAAATGATGGTAGATGGAGAGAAAACGTTCTGCGGTGGAGACCCCGTGAGGCCAAACGGAGCGTGGGGAGACCTCCGGCCAGATGGTCCGATGACATCCGTGACTCCGCAGGACATCTATGGCACCGACGGGCCTCAGACCGTGCCAGGTGGAGACATATTGGAGAGGCATATGCCCAACGGTGGGCAAATTAATGCTGTGAAGTATGTCTGAATTCCCAAAGATCTCTGACAAGAGAGCTAGAATAACCCCGATGAGACGTGAAGACAAATTATATTTACCTCGGTCGAATTCAGTAATTTTTGAAAAAAGTACTTATATGTCTGCCCTACTACGAATATACAATAATTTACCCCTCTATCTGCGGTCACTTACTGAATATAAGTTTTTAAGGTCCCTGAAGCAATGGTTGTTATGTGTAATGCATTTTATAATCTTAATGAATATTTTAATAATAATGTTTTGTGAAAATGACTATTGCATGCCCGATTAGGGTAACTGTTTATTTCAATTGTGTGCACTAACATCTGGCAGTATCACTAAATGTAACAGTTTTGCAATAAAGAATTATTCTATTCTATTCTGGGAACGCACCGAAACCTTTCCTGTAAGCCGCGGCACCGAACTCTAGCGCTGACTAGGCTTGTTGAAAATATATCGATGTATCGATATATCGATATTATTTGCTCGATATCGATATTTTTGCCGATATATTTTGATTCGATATATCGATACATCGATACAAAATAACCAATATCGAAATTCGTATCAAAAACGATATTTTTTTAATTATTACCGGCATATCACGATTTAACTAAATTCGTATCTGGAAAAATCATAACTGGATCTCAGATTAATGATATTCAACATATCTATGATCTGGGGGCCAATCGCCTAACGGAAATGCTTTGGGAAACGCTAACGCTTACGATTTTATATTGTTATTTCTAGCCGCCTGAGGTTTTCGAATACCTCACGCTCATTTTTTTTAATATTGTTATTACCAATGCAAAAGAAAAAGAAAGAGCGCCAGGCATTTGAATACCTCAGGCGGCTAGAAATAACAAAATAAAATCGTAAGCGTTAGCGTTTTCCAAAGCATTTCCGTTAGGCGATTGGCCCTCTGTGCTGTATTTAGTATTGTCTATGTCATCATTCGAAAATAGGGTTATTTTTAGGGTGATAATTTTCGTTCCATTATTATTCCGCGTGTCATATTTCGTGAGCTACTGTACGATATTTTTGGGAAAATTGGTCCGATATATCGATATTTTTTTCAACTTTCGACATCCTTAGCGCTGACCGCGCACAAGTAAAAGTGAAGATGTGTGGGGGGGAGACGACGTGCGCGGGCGGGCGTGCGTTGCGCCGATTGGCTCTCCAGTCGTAGCGTTTTATTGAGCGCTAGAATTACGTGCCGCGACCTGTATGCCGTGTGCGGCCTCCGGTCTGCACCCTGGCGTTGTCTCTCGACTATGCTACATCCCGACGAACTTCTCGGGCGACGACCGTAGATGAGGAAGCCAATTTTACATACCAAAGATTAAGGCAAAGTATGGCTGTACTGTACTAAAATGTATCAGTGTAACAACTTTGTAACCTATATTCGCAATTAAGATGATTAGATTTGATAACTTTCGCGATTCCTAACAATAATAATTTGTTATTTACGAGATCGCTTCCATGCACCTTGTGTTTTGCGAGCCTGCGACAGTTCCTCTCTGTGATCACGGCGCTTGCTGAAATTAATTTCACAATTCCAAGGAGAATTCCAAGTTATCCAATCTTACCATTTACAAAACCGATTCTCCGAACAAAGGTAGATTTCACAATTCCAAGGAGAATTCCAAGTTATCCAATCTTGCCATTTCCAAAACCGATTTTCCGAACAAAGGTAGTAGCACCCCTAAAAAACTAGCACCCCATAATAAATGTGTGTGTGTGTGTGTGTGTGTGTGGGCGCACGCGCGCACACATACACACATTTAATGCATATAAATACCTGCAGCATCACTACATAGTCTAAAGCAAAGTCGCTTCTCGCTGTCTGTCCCTATGTATGCTTAGATCTTTAAAACTACGCAACGGATTTTGATGCTCCTCGGCGCCGAGCGTCACCTATACCCATAGCTCACCTTGCACTGCAGCTTGATCTTCTGCCCCTCGACCACGTTGGTGTTGTCGGGCAGCCTGGCGACGGCAGCCCGGCCGCGCACCTCCCAGGCGCGCTCCTCGGCGCCGAGCACTTGTCACCGTCACCGTCACCGTCACCTATACCCATAGCTCACCTTGCACTGCAGCTTGATCTTCTGCCCCTCGACCACGTTGGTGTTGTCGGGCAGCCTGGCGACGGGCCGGCCGCGCACCTCCCAGGCGCGCTCCTCGGCGCCGAGCACTTGTCACCGTCACCGTCACCGTCACCGTCACCTATACCCATAGCTCACCTTGCACTGCAGCTTGATCTTCTGCCCCTCGACCACGTTGGTGTTGTCGGGCAGCCTGGCGACGGCAGCCCGGCCGCGCACCTCCCAGGCGCGCTCCTCGGCGCCGAGCACTTGTCACCGTCACCGTCACCGTCACCTATACCCATAGCTCACCTTGCACTGCAGCTTGATCTTCTGCCCCTCGACCACGTTGGTGTTGTCGGGCAGCCTGGCGACGGCAGCCCGGCCGCGCACCTCCCAGGCGCGCTCCTCGGCGCCGAGCACTTGTCACCGTCACCGTCACCGTCACCTATACCCATAGCTCACCTTGCACTGCAGCTTGATCTTCTGCCCCTCGACCACGTTGGTGTTGTCGGGCAGCCTGGCGACGGCAGCCCGGCCGCGCACCTCCCAGGCGCGCTCCTCGGCGCCGAGCACTTGTCACCGTCACCGTCACCGTCACCGTCACCTATACCCATAGCTCACCTTGCACTGCAGCTTGATCTTCTGCCCCTCGACCACGTTGGTGTTGTCGGGCAGCCTGGCGACGGGCCGGCCGCGCACCTCCCAGGCGCGCTCCTCGGCGCCGAGCACTTGTCACCGTCACCGTCACCGTCACCTATACCCATAGCTCACCTTGCACTGCAGCTTGATCTTCTGCCCCTCGACCACGTTGGTGTTGTCGGGCAGCCTGGCGACGGGCCGGCCGCGCACCTCCCAGGCGCGCTCCTCGGCGCCGAGCGCGCACGAGTAGTTGCCGTAGTCGTCCTCCACGGAGCGGCCCAGCGAGAACACCGCGCCCTCCTCCAGCATCTTGTAGCGCCCCTTCAGCTCCGCTATCTGCTCCACGCCCACGTCGTTCTTCTTCCTGTATGGACGACGCACGGTGTTTGCCCGATAACAAGTTATTGGACGAAGTATGCCATCTTCGTTGCATGATGAAGATACTTATTAATTACTCGTTCGAAAAATCAAACATAAACACCGTTAAGAGTAATTATTTGGCATTTTTTGCAATAAATGATAGCTTACAGTATCTCATTAGTCGGAGAGTGAAGATAAGGAATCGGTACTGAGGGCTTAAATAGTTCAACCTAAATACATACCTCAACGTTTAGATAAAAGTCTCTTACTTAATACTCGAAATTGATGTAAAGATCTTTAAAAACAATATCATTTTTAATGACTACCTAGATAAAGATATACTACTTATTATTAAGAACGAGGTCCTCTCCTTGCGGATGTTTTTGCGTCAATCAGATAAGTTGTCACGTCGCGTCGCAGCGTTATCTGCGCGGCGGCACACGTTTATGAACCTAAATACTTTTATTAGCTAATGTAAATGAACAATGAAAGTACCGAGTAAATGAATTCCTCATTCAACACGATGAATCAACTCATTCGCTAATGAAACACTGTCATAAGTCATATAATAACAGTGACTAGTTTGAAAATAAAAAAACACGCTTTTATAAATGCACGTAAAAACCAAAAATAAATTATGCATAGTTCAAGTTGTCGCAATTTCTGGACTAAAGTGTAAACTATGTGCTCTTAATTATTATATTTGATTATAAAAGCGTGGGCGCTGGAACAGGAAAGACTTTTTGTATAATTTCCTGAGAAATCAAAATATTAGTAATGGTGCATGGTGTTTTACCAGTCAGCTTAGTTGCAAAGTTTTATTACGTTAAGATGAATCTCATGAGCCCAAACTAGATATGTTTACTAGTAGGCAGCCCAAGGTTCCATCAGCCACCTTCCAGACCCATCATCAGGCCAGCTCGATGGTACCATAATATTCTATTGTCACCTAATCCAGATATAATTGCAAAGTTTTATTATGTTAAGACTAATCTCATGAGCCCAAACTCGATTTGTTTATTAGTAGGCAGTCCAGGGTCCATAAGCCACCTTCCAGTCCATCGTCAAATCCTCGTCATCAGGAGAAATGCATAGAATATGTTAAGGCGAATCTAATGAGCCCAAACTCGATATGTTTACTACTAGACAGTCCAAGGTTCCATCAGCCACCTTCCAGTTCCATCATCATACCAGCTCGATGGTACCATAATATTGTATTGTCATGTCATCTACATATAATTGCCAAGTTTCATGATGATACAAGAATTAAAGTTTGTGTAATTCAGATTCTTAGATTCCATTATATAGTTAGATAGTTATACAAATGAACCTAATAAAAGCGTGTTAATGAACGCGGGCCAGCGACCAGCGGCCAGCGGCCAGCGACCAGCGGCCAGCGACCGCCGAGCGCGTGCGCCTCGATCTACTATCGATTATGTTATGGCAGTCGTTTCACTCATAATTTCTATGACCATCATCGGTGCAAACATAACGCCGTCGCCAGCGGGTTTAAAACCAGAATGCACTGTTTTGTTGCTTGAAGATATTTTAAAGAAAATATCTTCTAAGGAAATGAGGTGAAGTAACATTTGGACCGCCAGCGTGGTTATGTATTTCTCTAAATACACAATTGTTTGAAGTACTCACCACACATAGGATTGTGTTTTGTCAGGGCTAGGAATGGTGCAGTTGAGCGTAATGTTGCGGTTGTAGTCGAAATAGACCTCGCCGGGGTCCCCATCCTCTCCGAAGTCTGCAACACGAGTCGCCACAATCAACACACGACAATAACACAACAACAGCGATTCAATCTACACGAGCTAAACCCTCACCTTTTTATTAACACATTGCAACCATCCTTAAATTTGGTTGGATCGTGCACATTCATGCACTTTTACAATTCACATGGGTGTAGTTATTTATTTATTACAAACAAACAAATATAAGTAGAAGCTGTAATATACTGCTCAACACACTTGCTCAAAAAATGAATTTACGGAGGTTGTATACATTGTTCGAAAATTCGAAATTACAAGACATACATCCGAGCGTGCGGGAAAACGTTGTACCGCACGCTCCCATACATGGCGCCTGCATATCCTTTAGGGTATTTTTTTTTTCTATACTTTTATATCACTATACAAAGAAAAACAGACGAAAGATGTAGTTTTAATTTTCATCACCCGCAAGAGGCGCCAATTGGAAATGCTTGCCATTTATTTTCATAGAAAATTTTTGCTTCATTACACATTTACAAGGTATACAGTTCTCTCGCAAATATGTTGAATAACGTAGTATGACATTCGTGCGGAATTGGTATTTACAAACATTTGTCTACTCGTTTGCAATAACCAACTTACCGCACTAATATTATAAAAACTAATTCCTAATATTACACAATTCAAAATAAACGTGCAGTAAACGTGAATTGAATCCATACAAGTCTGCAGATAGAATTACGGAACTCTATACTCTAAAATGAAATGGATCAGCAAAATAACGAATATTGATCGACGCCAACGACCTCTACTAATTCGGGTCGATGAGTCGCTACAGGCTCATCTTACGAACAACTGGGACTAATAATGACGGCAACTGATCGGTTGTTACCGAGCTAGGGCCGTACCATGAACGTCATCCACTACACGACTACGCTGCTTCAAGTGTAACATCGTCGGCCGCAATGTAAGCTTCGATTCTGCGTTCTTTAATTAAGACCTTTTTAAATGTTGATGGTATGGCCCCTGAGTCGAGTCAGTATGGCAAAATACTGACTTAATGTGAATTTGGGTTGTCAAGAAATAGCAGGACAGTCATCTTAACAAATGATATGTTAAAAAGTAGTTAGTTTAAAGTGGAACCCGCATGTTTTCTACAATACTGGCAATCGGACCGCTTTAAAGAAATTATCAAATCAGGATTGCGACAAACGATTACACAGAGATATCTACAGTATAGAACCATCAAAAGGAAGAGGTGATAAAAACGATTTCGATAACGGCAGCCTAGCTACTGCTTATCACAAAGTGCTCTCTACGCGACAATACAATAAGCGTTTCAATTAGCTCTACGTGGCGGAAGTACCGACGGACGGCACGGGCACACCGGGCACCGCCGATCCGCAATATTTCATACTAAGCTTACACAACAACTAACGTCGCTCTATCTATGTGACAATCATACAATCGATAAATCAAATACAATCTACGCAATAGCGCACGCGCCGCATTTCTAAACAAATTTTACTCTACTGATACAGAACTAGGATCGGGAGAGGTGCGCTGAAACCATAATTGGGTATTTGACAAGTTTTAGAAAACGATCTCACGTTATTGACTAATGTTTATAGAGTCCGTAAAAAGTGGATATTCATCATTCTGTTGTGTATTTCAGCAAAAATAACCAAATCAAAAACTCCATTTTCAAGTTGCCGCGAAAACGTTTCTCTTTTCAATATGGCGTCTTACTAGTGTGTGACGTCACACGACCGTTATTGAAACGTCAAACGATACAATGCAATGTCACTTTAACCGGAAGCTTCCTTGCGTGTGACGTCATTTTAGACTCGGCCAATCCCAAGCGTTTCGGGTCACGTGACAATAGATAAGAAAACTATTATCTTTTTCGTTAGTTTTTAGGAAAATTATGAATATTTTTATCGTAAAAAATAGTAAAAACCCCTACCAATATTCATTGTAAACACAGATGCTAACAATTGGCACTTTATTTTTAACACTGTCAAATACCCTAATCCCCAATATTTAAAAGCGATACAGCGATAATGAGTCAAAATACGAGCAACGGCCATGTCACCGTCGGCGGGCGCGGGCGCGGGCGCGGGCGCGGGTGCTGGCGCGGGCGCGTGCGCGGGTGCTGGTGCAGGCTGCAGCAACACTCGCACGCGCACGCGATGAGCGTCGGCGTCGCGGCTGCAGGTGTAGAGGCCGGCGTGGTGCGCGCGCGCCGCGTCCACGTGCAGGCGCGCCGCGAGCCGGCCGCCGGGCGCGGTCCTCTCGCCGGGCGCCATGTCCCGCGGGGGCGGCGCGGTGCCGTTGAGCCGCCACTCGGCGCGCGCCTCCACCCGCAGCGGGCACTCCACCGTCAGTGGCGACCCCGCCACCACCGACACCACCGTCTCCTTGCCCGACTCTGGACCGGTCGCACCGGTGTTAGTGTCACGCGCGCCCGTCGGTGGCCGAGGAGCGGTGCCCGTGACCGATTCCGGTAACGTTTTAACCGCCCGCGGGTGATCGGGCTCGCGCACCCCGCCTCCGTCCCGCCTAATGTGGCCTATCCTATCCGCCGTTCTCCTGCTTGCGTTTGAGTCGTTGGATTTTGACGTGACAACGTCTTAAATTAGGTTGCGGCTGGGAGTCACTTATGAAAAAGTGTAACGCTCGGTAACGTTACGATGAGTCTCTCGTGTTAAGTTTAAGTTTACATGTACAATGTTTTAGTAAACAAAATATATTTCTATAGTTAAAATTTGTGCAATTCTTATTTTCATTCAATTCCTTGTTCCTATTGTGCAATTTAATTATATTCATATCAATAAATATTCTACCGAGAAAAAGACGTTGTCACGTAAAATCTTCGCCCGTAAAACCGACTTTACAGGCAACCATTTTTTTTTTACTCTGGGATTGTTTTCTTTCCCTATATTCTACTAGAGCCAGCTTTGTGTCACAATTCTCCAAACTCTTATATAAATAAATAATTATGCATGTAGGGTTCCTGTTGATGTACCGATAAATCCATACTGAGAATATCGACTACGCAAGTTGAGGCGGCCCTGGTCCTTTACCTGACGAATATGGGCGAAAAATCAGAGTTCCCTTTCATAGAATTTATGAAATTTTATTTTATTATTAGGTACTTGTTTAATATGTAAACTAATTGAATTATAAAGTAATCCCACATTTTCTCTTTAATTATTACACTATAAAACAGGAATATGAATATAAAATGTGTCTATGTATATGAAAATATACCCATTACTCACTTAGGTTTAGCTGAAATTAATAGATATTAATAATATAGGTGTGTTATAAAGCTGTATGACCGTTGAACTTGATCCCGGACAATAGGCTAGTTGACCCTTTTTGGAAAAAGGTTTTAAATGGTTAATAAATGTTCTATTAGACCGAAAAAAAATGTATTGTATTTTTTTTAAACCTAGAAAGCTACAAATCTTTAATTTTAAAATAGACTTTTCATGGACATACAAAAACGCTGTCGGCCATTTTAGTCTATAGATTATCTATGCTATGACGTGAACTGTGGTAAACAAAAACTCGTAAACACGTAGAAAATTACTTAAAGCTGAATTTATAATAACCCTTTCGGACCCTGTACTCACTTTTGTGAGTATGACTTTGCGATTTTTATTACGCTCACTCGGAAACAGCAGGCGAACGGGGGCGGGCTCGCACGATTGTGCGGGTAGTCCTTTATGCCTATGATTTTTTTTGCGGCGATAGGTGATAACTTTGTCGGTCAGTGTGCGTCGGCACCTGCGCAAGGTGAGCGTGTCGCGAGTTGTTAACGCTGGGATATATTTTGACGTGACAACGTCTTAAATTAGGTTGCGGCTGGGAGTCACTTATGAAAAAGTGTAACGCTCGGTAACGTTACGATGAGTCTCTCGTGTTAAGTTTAAGTTTACATGTACAATGTTTTAGTAAACAAAATATATTTCTATAGTTAAAATTTGTGCAATTCTTATTTTCATTCAATTCCTTGTTCCTATTGTGTAATTTAATTATATTCATATCAATAAATATTCTACCGAGAAAAAGACGTTGTCACGTAAAATCTTCGCCCGTAAAACCGACTTTACAGGCAACCATTTTTTTCATTCTGGTAAGCAATAGTCGTGTTTGTTTTTGGTTTATTGTGTTTAGAGTGAGTTGTAAGTAGCCACTTATATTAAAAATAGTAGATTGGTGGTTAAGTTCAATGGATTCTAATGCCGCTAAAATCAATCTCACAAATGTGAGGGCTGGGTTTGAACTTCAAAATTAGTAAGTATTTTCATACAAATAAAAAAACGTTTTTTGGGTACGTTTTAGGTGTTATTTCGATGTTAAACAATTACCATGAGTAGAAGAAACTTAGTACTTGACGATGATGCGATTTTGGACGCGATAAATGACCCATACTTTGGTGAAGACTCCGATCAAGACGAAAATTGGGTGCCTCCAGGGGAAGAGCCCGACCGCCAATCTGATAATGACCAGGAGGAAGAAGTTACAGCTCCTGTTGTAGCTGTACCAAATGTTACAAATCCTGGACTAGAAGGATCTTTCATGGGAAACTCATGCTATCCTACACTTCAACTGTGGAAGAGGTACCCATTTTGTTTAGGAATCTGGTTTGACATCACTCTTTGTATCATCTTACCTTTTTCAAGATTTTCATATTAAATATTTCATGTTATTCAGTTAATATTAATTTTGAATGTTTAATGATGATTAAAATTTAACTTTTTGTACTAAATCGTATTTATTTAACAACCCTCACAATCGTGAGTATTCCAAGACTTGGCCTGGTCCCTCACAATTATGAGCATCCTGAAAAACCGATTTTTCGTTTTCCCAGATTTTTTTCAGTCTCAAATTCGTTTTCAGCGACCCCAAATTAGCTAGAAACAGTAACTAACATTTTAAAATTCCCTAGCGTTTAATGTCAGGTCTGAAAGGGATAAAAAAAACATGATTTCTAATAAATACCCTGAAAAATAAAGTAATTATCATTACTGTATTGTACGAGAATATAAAAACACATCCTTGAAGACTCCAGGAAAGTTGTGGATTAAAGTGCCGAAAAAAATTAACCTACGCAACTTTATTACACTTATTCATATGTTGTATCAGTTTTATGTTTATTACTACATTGTAATACTAAATGCACTGTACTTACATAGATGCCTTGTCGTTTCTCTGCTCCGCAGAGCAGAAATCGGGGTTTAGTGCAACAAATTCACCAACCATCAATGGGTCAATTCTTGGCAGATTTGTGCTTTCTGCTTTTACAAAGCCGGCAACCATAATTAGTTTTGTCAAAAAAAACTAAGTTTACTGTTTATTTCTTTCCTAAAGTTAAAAGTGTTTTAAGATAAATTTAGTCAGACGAAAGAATCCACCTACAGTAACACGCGAATGACATTTAGTTGTTTACCACAAGAGACGTCAAAATCATGGCGGATGTGGCGAACAGCGTTTTTAATGTTTAAAAAATATAGACTAAAAAATATTTTTTTAAATTAAATTTCTACAGCAATCTTCTGCTTTTATGTTCCTTAGACCAAATACTTTAAGAAATAAACATTTATTTAATACAATTCGACATGAGTAAACTAGCCTATTCTGTTCAGAAAGTACGCATTTTGAGAATTTTCTAAATATTGCATTACAATGGTATGGTTCCATACAATGCCTACTTTACTTTTAATATGATTATTTACAATGAGATATCCTATGTTATTTTGATCCTGTTGTTCTTTCAACTTTAATTGATTATATTGCAATACCAAGTAGGTACAATGTTAATGACACAAATAAATATTTTAGAATATATGGGTAAATAAAACTAGTTTAAACGGGATAATGCACGAAACTTTATTTATTTATTGACGTTTCGTAGCCTTTCCAGGCTTCGTCGTCAGAATAAAACTTTTGTTTAATTTGTCGAGCTACCTTCGCTAAATAAACATAACTAAACTAAATATTCGCTAAATTAAACAAAAGTTTTATTCTGACGACGAAGCCTGGAAAGGCTACGAAACGTCAATAAATAAATAAAGTTTCGTGCATTATCCCGTTTAAACTAGTTTTATTTAATGAGTGATGTGCGTGAAAACCTAAGAAACAAATATATATGGGTAATATAATAATATATTAATCCTGCGGCTCTTTATTTAGTTTTTTTTTCATTCATTTTTTAATCATATACTGAACATGGATCATGAGACCCTGTCTTGAAATAATATATAAGGTGATAGTGGAAGACAGGCTAATTATTTAAAGGAGTCAAATTTTTTTGTGTTTTTTGAAATATCTAATTTGAGCATCTTCCAAAACAATAAAGATATATATACCTATATATTGTACAATTATAAATTTTACTTATTTTATATGGGGTGTATACTCAAAACAAATATTTCATGTTCTGAAACCTTAAGAATTATGCACAATAACCAATAAAAATATGATGTCCAGAAAAAGGATTCTTTACCTTTTATTTAAGAATTGTATATATAGTTATATTTGTTATTTCTTAAGCTTGTAACTGCTAGACTTTCTTTAGATTGTATATATAATTAAGATAAATTATATAAGAAAGTTGTAGTGCTTTATGTGGTATTTAGTTATAGCATTATGAGTTATTGAGACTAATTAGAGCTGTTTGAAGTGATAAACATGTTAGCACCAAGATAACGTACTTGCCGATACATACTGTTGTCAGAACTACGATTTCCATTATATATTTGTAAAAACAAGTCGAGTTTATGAAGTTTTGCATTGCGTTTTCGTAGATACTACGATACATTAG